GGCGCCGCTGCCGAAGATGCGGACGACAGCGTGCCGGAGGTGAGGCCCAGGTGGCGGCACAGGTCCGGCACCGGACGCCCCACGAGCTGCTAGGCAGGAGTCGGGGACGGGGATGGGAAAGGGGGATGCTGTCAGGAAACGGCGTCTGAGACTGACAATGCCAACCCGGAAGGAGGACTTCGGTGGGGGGTCAGGGAGAGGGGATCATTGGCTGCGGCCCGGGATTGGGCCTTCGTTAAGCAGGCAGCGCGCTCGGGGTACGGGAAGGGAAACGAAACTTGCGGAGCGCTAGAAAACGAACAGGGAGGACAACTTTGGAATCGGAAGCCCACACGGCCTGGACACGCTTGTGCCCTGAAACCCCTTAGACAAGAATGCCCCACGCGAACATGTACCATAATCGTTGGGCACACCGACCAAAACAGGCTTCTGCTGTTGCTTCAATACCGCCCTTCATTGAGCATCGTTGGTGCTGACTGTCGAGGCCTTGCCTGCATGTAGCAGCGGTTAGGCAGCCGCTGCAGCACGGCGTGCTGTCTCAGGAGAGCAAACATCAAGTCATCCCCAATTCTGGACAGCAGGAGCTCCCACGGAGGCGACCGGATGACGTTGACCGTAGTGTTGGGAAACGTGCATGCTACCCCTTGCACGCTCAGCAGCTCGCTCGTCGCCTGCGGTCCCGCTACTCGGCATCCGAGGGAGAGGACGTTACGGCGCGGGTCGTCTCCCTGAGCGGCGTAGTACCCGCCGACACTGTTCCCCTGCCGACGAAAGATAGAAGAAGAAGCAGGCGGGTCGGGGTATCATGTAGCGGGGTGTTTCTTGAGGTCATCGGGGGTTCTTGGTGGTTCATTCGGCTATTGCGCAGTTCGGTGAGCCTTGGAGGGCAGCTTCGCGACGCTTCAGCCGTTACCCACGAGTACACAAAAAGGTCTGGGGATGCAGATACGTTCATGAAACAACATAAAGCCAACCCTCGGCCGCAAAAGAGCAAAAGGCACAATAAAGAAAACGGCATGACCACTGCAGCGGGCACCCTCCGGTATCCGAAAAGGAACTCGTGGTCTCCAACCGTCAAGGAGCCAGGTGCACAGGTATGTGCATGTAGCCCTTACACCGCACCTGTCCTCCCACGGTCGATGAGCGCAGGAGCGATTGCACCACGCGATCTAGAAGGTCTGCCATGGAGGACCTGTGCTGAAGTGACGCGTGGCGCGGCAGAGGTGCGTGGGCCTCCCCTGGCACCGCTTGTACAGGAGAAGGGTGGAAGGCGACAAGGGTTTCCTTCAACATCTGACAGAAGCCGGACGATAGGGAGGGCGCGGGGGTAAGGCAAGCATACAAGCCGCTGATGCCCAAAGGCGCCCGGTGGGACACGTTCAAAATCGTGGATGAGGAGCAACCGACAGCGCAAGGCAGGTAGTAGCGAGCCACATGCTGCCGCAAGAAAAGGTCCTTGCAGATGTGCTGCCCACAACCAACCCCGAATCCCGAAAAGAGCGCAGCCCTACCATTTAGCCAAAAGATACACCGCGAAACGTATGCTTGCAACGGTAAGTCGGGCCGCGTACAGCAGTAGACCTCGGTCTGCAACTGACAAACAAGAAATACACCAACGCGGTGCATTGCTTGGCAGATAATTTGCGACGCATGCTCACGCGGTATTGGGTACAATAGTTTCGTTTGCTGTCTCATGAACCAAGCTCCGGCCTCTAGCACTCCCACCAGCTATGGAGCTACGGACCTTCTTGTACTCCGGGCCGTCATCCTGGCGGCTAAGGTACGAGGCAGGTCCGCCGCAGCCCTCGATTGCGGCCAGGGACGCAGAGCCAGGCGCTGCCGCCGCCGCGACAGCTTGCAACCACACCTCGAGATACGAGTCGAGGTTGACCGCGTTCGGATAGATGAGCTTCAGCATCCATCGTCCATCGGGACTTTGGCCCTTTCCAGGAGACTGGCACCGTCCGCCTTGCACCGGTGGCATTTCGGAAACCCAACCGCCACCTGCGTGTTTGAAATTGTCCTCTCTCCCGAATACCCTTTTCCCGCGTCCCTGTAGCTGTAATAGTCGCTCACGGCCTGGACCGAAGGGGGGACATGTTCCTCTACGATGCGCAACTCGCCCCCACCTGTACCTGTATCCTATGCCATCTAGGGTGCGTGTTGCCGAGGTGCAGGCCAGTTCCAGGTCTCCTGTTTCAGTCATGCCCGGGCCCAGCGGAACACGTTCGTTCGTAGAAGTCGTAGATTGGTGCCGGTCGGTCTCGGGACTGTCATGTTTTTGGTCCATCGGCATGATACCGCTCGCGTTGACTATAGCGCTGAGTATTGTACGTGCACACAGACACATCCATTCCAAATCCCCACCTGACCTCAAGTACACCCCTCCTACTCCTACCTGACAACACGCACCTTGACCTGCTGAGGCCGTGAGGGCTGTTGGTCTCCCTCACTACGTTCGCGAGAGCTGGTAGGGTGACCCCACGCTTGAATTGTAGACAAGCGGCTGGCTAACGTTGGATATGCTTTCTCCACATGGGCGAGTTCGGCAAGATTCCGGGAGGGCGCAGGTGAGACCCCTTCCAGCGCATCAGCGTGCTGGTCTTGGTAGCATCCATGTAGTAGAACTGCTGTTGGGGTTAGCCGAGTAGCCACTGCTCGCGGCGCGCCCAGTTCGCTCCTCCCCGCGACAAATCTTAATCTTGGTTGTCGAGTAAACACTACCAGTTTTGTGGAGTCCAGCTCTCAGCTCTCTTTCTCTCACTCTCAGCTCTCACTCTCTCGCTCAAAATATAAGTCAGTGGCTCTGTAGAGTACAGATCAGCAGACAGCTCCTCACGATGGTCTGCAGAACCAAGAGGTAGGGGCTAAACGCATGCCTACACTTTCCGTGTCCGGGCCATCTCGCACCATGTGCCGGCTCCCGAAAATATCCCGTGTCTAGTCTAGA